TGCACAAGTCTGACCTCGTTCTCGTTCGCTCAGCCCTTGAAGCATGTTTCAAAGGAATGCGTAGATCGATACTGCATTCCTACAGTATAAAAACAGTCTTGTTTAATTTCGGCTTTTGGCCGAGTTGCACACTCGCGTTCACTAACGCGTCCGCGTGCATGCGGATCTACCCTTTACGGGCCTGTATGTGTGTTTGTGCGTGCGCATGTCAGTTGTTGGGGTGAGGAACAGGTGTGGTTGTGCCGCGTAGGTGGACACACTCGTGGGCAGGCTGATCTGAGCTCCAACGCCTGATTGAATGTGTGCAGCCCCTTCGGCCCACGAGATCAGCAGCCACCATCCGTTCAGATGGGCCAACAGCACACAGCGCCGCCTTCCTGGACATGCAGATTCCGCCGGCCCACCTGTCCGACTGTCCGACTGTGCGTCTGTCAGCCTGGCCGTCGGCTATTATGCCTGTCCGTCTATCGACCGCATGCCAGTGCTGTGTTCACGCCGGCTGAGACTGTGCGAAGCGAGACGGCCTATTTTCGACCCTTTCACAGTCAGTGCCCTTCGGTGCTCTTTTCAGTGCCCTTCCTGCTGTCAGATATGGAGTGTCTTATTTTAGCCAGTGCATCCAATTGGAGCGCAGTTTTTTCCCCCAATCACGTGACTAGCCTACACACGAAAGGCTAAAGGCGAATCTCACTTACGCCGTAGTAATTAGCATCCACTTAATTATCTGCAAATCAGCTCTACCGATGCTGCAAACCTTCAAGACCGGGCAGCGTCTCACACGACCGGATCAAAGTGTAAATAAGGTGACGACTGTTGAAGGTGAGGAAGAGTCCGGGTTCGAAAACTGCCTTTCCCAACTTCACACCATCGTTCCGTTCAGTTCCCGTGATGAATTAGTGTGTCTTAACTTTCTATTTCAAGCAAGGGTTGGTTGGAAGCAATTGGTCAAGTTGTTTCATCGGAAGCTTGAGGAAGGTTGTCGATATAAGTGGGTTTCGAGACTATCGGCAATTCTTGAATGATAACGTAACCTGCGTGAGTCAGATGGTGATGTAAGCACTGCTGAAAGTACCCACAAGGTCTCTCCCGAATCGCGTTTATAGTGAGACTGTCGAGCAAGCAAACACGCATTTCCTATTACAATCAACAACGTTAACTATTTTTGATGTAAATAGTTATGCGTAAGCCTATTCGTAATTATAGAATAAAAACTGAGTAAGGTTAGGTCATTTCGGGTGATTTAGCCTCATAATCCCATTGAAATTCACATAGCCCTGCCTAATGTGACATAAATTAGTTTCCACATGAGTAACTGGATCCCATGGTGCATGTGGCAGACAATGGACAAAAAGTACGGCAGCATGCGCGAAATGCCATCTCGGATTACATCTGCTCTGAGACGCCTTGGCACCTGTGGCTGTTAAGGTGTCACGGCGTGGTAAAATGTTGCCAGGATGCACACGGCCAGGGTTCGAGTCAAGTAGATGGTGGAAACTGCAGTCCAGCTGGGATGAGAAAATCTTTTCGACTGCAAGACTAGATTGACAACTGATATGACCTCGACTTCACTACTTGGTCGTGTCGCCAGGATGGGCAAAATAACCGTATCTTGCCAAGAGTCCTCTTTCATCAAACTTGGTAGTAGTCATTGGACTTACCATCATCGTACCGTGGACTTAATACATTCCCAGACGTTTCTCCGGCATCGCCATTGAGCTTTACCAATCTTAGCCCCCAACTATAAGGTGTCGGAGACGAATCTTTACTTGTACACACACACACACATATAT